TATTTACTATCAGAATAAGCTATTAGTAAATTAAAAAATTACCTGTTTAAGTCTACAATATATTTATGCACACTTTGAAATGCTAAATAAAATCTGGTCACAATTTCTATGTTGTTTTCACGAAATTCTTCATCTAAATCCTGAAGGTCTGGCTTAGCTTCCAGTTTGCTTTCCCATAATTCTGGACCCTAAGAAAAAAAACACATTTATGGAGACGTCAACAAAAGCATACTTGTTGGTAACAATTTCTATGTATTCTTTAAAAAATTTGTTCTTATGCCTTAAAAGGGATGTCAAAAGTTGTAAGGAGAGCAAAGTAATAAAGATAATAGAAGCCCAGATATAAAATCCCTTTCAAACATATGCATTTGCATTGTAACTGCAACTGGCATGCTTTAATGTGAAATGTGTTATACTGAAGTTATCGTTTGAAAATTTGACTATATTGTGTTAGGGCTTCACACAATACCTTTATATTATTGCCCAGTTAGTTTGCTGATATTAAATTTGGTTTAAACATCTCTTCTTTTTTAACTCTTTCCCCATAACTGCCCAGAGTCTCAGGGTTCCCAGACAAATCATGCGTTTGCAGGAAAGACAGGGGTTTAGATGCTCTAGGGGAAGGTTACCTTAAAATAGCTGAAATCAAATATGATATCTCCATATTTCTGTTGATCAGCTCGGTCTTTTAACCTAAACACAGCAGGAATAAACTCAGAGAGCCTCAAGAGCTCAGCAATGATGGCGTTGCCACAGGAGACGATCCTTAGGATGGCCTGGCCGCAGAGGTTGTTCTCGGCCAGGAAGTCCAGCATCCTGAGGGTCATCGGCTACTCTGTGCCTGGCCGCTTGGGAATGCCGAACTGGCTTCAGGGCTGGGCTCTGCGGACCATTAGAGGAAACCAGGTCTGCTGACAGCTGCTTGCTCCATTTAAGAAACTGTATCCAAAAACAACAACAAAAAAAAACCCCTCCATTTTTCAAGGAAGCATGTGAAATACATACATAATATTTTTCTTCCAAACTCCCTAGAACACAAACAAAAAAAATGAATTCTGATGCGGAGGGGGCATTTATTCTCCACTCTTTGGTTTCCGTGTGGTGGGGCTTTGATAAATTAACACTTGTGGCTTCTTTCTCAACTGTTTATTCACTTCACCCCATGAGAAAAGATTCAATGTAGCTACCTTGGAGCTTGGGAAAAGGAACCAGAGCATGTGTGGTTCCAACCTGCCTGCAACTGGGCAGTGATTGCTACATCTTCCTTACAAGACCTGTACCCCTTTGTTTTGCCTTTGGCAAAGATATGTCCTAAGATCCACTAGAACTGGTCGAGGGAACACCTTTACAAATGGCTTTCTCATATAGGAAGCCCTTGTTATCGGGAGGGCGGGGGCGTTGAGGAGACAGGCTTGAGAAAGGTTACAGAGTGACTCTAAAGTAAAGACAAACATTTCATACTAAGCAGTAGACAAGTGAGATTAGGAATGCATCTTAAAACATTATAACTAAAATGGATTAAAGTGAGTTTTACATTTAGCAAAATTTAGAGGAAAATAGCAACAAATATGTTCTAATTCAATGGACAGACTGAGAATGAGTCAAAAGCTGATTTTACCAAACTGTGATTTTGGTAATACAGTATCTTGTACTTCAAAGTTGACTTTCACAGTTGATATTTAAAGAGGTAATTTTTGCAAAACAGGTTCAAGGCATCTTTCATTTTCCCAAAGTCCTCTCCCAAGTCTTCCTCAAATCATTATCTTTTGAAGTGTTAATTTGTGGTATCATCTTTGTTGCATTTCTCTCCTGTTACTTCGGCTAGGTCAGCGTTTATAGGCTTCATGGAAGCCTGGCTTAACCTTCAACATCACTAACGCCCAAGTCTTTCCGAACATTTGCGCCCTTGCTTTCGCCAAGCACTGTTTTAGGTCCTGAGGCTAGTGCAGTGGACAAAACTAAGTCTTTGCTCTCATGAAGCCTACCTACTACTGGAAATAGTAAAGAGGTACCAGAAGATTATATACATATATAATCAGGCTGTGATAACTGCAGTGAAGAAAAAGCGTGATAAAGGGACAGAGCATGTGCTCTTTCACATCAGGGGGTTTGTGAAAGCCTCCCTGAGGAGATGACATCTGAGCAGGGACTGGAGGGAGCAAGGGAGCAAGCAGCAGTCTGTCTGAGCGCGGTCAGCAGCCTCTCAGATGGTCCCCAGTGACCTCCACCTCTTTATTCATGTCCTGTGTAGGTCCCTTCCCTGGGAGTGGGACTTCCTGACTCCCTTCTAAACAGCAGAAGACAGCAGACTGAAAGATATCACTTCTGAGATCCGATTACAAACGGACTGTGACTCTCTTGAGCAGCCTCTCTAGCTTGTCTGTCTGGGGCAAGGCTGTCATGGTGTGAGGGCCCTGCACAGGAACCCTTGTGCCAGGGGTCTGAGAGGCCTGACGACAACCTGCCCGGTGAGCTTGGAAGTGGATCCCAGCTCCTTCTGCATCTTCAGATGGGACAACAGCTCTTCTTCACAGACTGACTGAGCCATACCCCTGATTCCTGACCACAGAAACTCTGCAAGATAATAGATAATTTGTTGTCTTAAGCCATCAGATTTTGGAGTAATATGTTATTTTACAATAGACAATAATCTGGGGAAAAGGCATTCCAGGCAGGAGTTGATATAAACAAGTATAAAGGCCCCAGGGCAGGAATGTGCTAGATGCATTTAAGGCGGTGGCTGAGGTGACTACTGCAGAGTGAGCAAGGGACAGAAGCAGAGATCAGGGGAGGTAGATGGGGTTGGGTCAGACAGTGGCTGAGACGCCATTACAGTTGTCTAGAACTTTCTCTCATGAGGGCATCCTATCACACACATGAAGGCATAAATTATTAAGAAGTCCTTTCAGTTTTCTCTGTGATGCTTGCTTGTTAAGCCACTGGTATGGCCTGGCTTGGAAAAATAAATTGGAGAAATAAAAAGGGGGAAAATAATGGACAATGGGCAAAACGTCACCTACTGAGGTCCTCTGAAGACCACCAAACTGATCCAGGTCTCAGCAGGGTCAAACTCCAGATTCGACTGAGAGGAGGGCAAACTGTTATTCACCAGTTTAACTGCTACCAGATTTTGGACACTAAGATAGGACAGCTAATGGGGCCGTGGAGAAAACGGCATCACCTGCCTTCTTTTTAATCACCTGAAGATGGACAGATACACTCAGCACCTGCACACACGTGGTCAGGTTGGCATAGACCACAAAAATCAAGAGTTCTGTGTGTGCATCTTTTATTTTAATCTTTTAATCCTTACCCAAGAGTTACAGTGTAGGCAACATTCAAAATATTTGGCTAGAGTATTTGGTAAGTACCCCATTCTTGGCTGAAAAACTGGTCCTAAAGAACAGAATTTAAGATCATCATTAAAGATGCCCAACCATGTTGCAGGAGTCTCAGATACAGAAGCTGTTAAGATTTAGTTGAGCTTTAAGAAAAGTCACTCTAGAATGACATGCAGATAAACACTGTGGCAGAAGCTATGTTAATCCTCCCATTTGGTTCTACTGGTGCTGGGAATGAAGAAAGTTCTAATACCGGCTGTATTACTATTTGGTGTGAAAGGAAACCAGAGATCTCCCTCAATTTCCTAAGCATCTCTTACAAGGCACCCAGAAAAGTGGTTTTCATTTGATCTTTAGGAATTTGGTATGAAACTGTGTTTTTCAGTTTTGGAAAGTGACCCGAGGCAAAAAACAACCCGCTTTCAAGAACGAAGCATGACATCATCCTATCAATTATCCAATGACTACAGAACTCTATTCTGAAGGACATTACATTGTCTTGGGACAAACCACTGTTGACCCTACTCAGAGGACAGGAAACGGTAGGCCTATTTTTATCCTGTCATAAAAATCTCAGTTCCACGGAGAAGGAAGTGCTGATCTCCACCAATCTACTATCAGGAAAAAAAGGAATGGTTGTTGGTCAAGATAAGTCTCTTTCCAAAAACTTTCTGAAATAAGCCTGATCGCTCTAGTCTGATTCCGAAGTCCTGGAAAAGACAGAAGGAAGACGGGATGGTGTTTGTTTCTTATTGTGGGTAGAGGCAGTAGAACCTCTGTCTCTCCCCCACCCCCGACCTTCCCTCGCTCCCCGACACCCACCACACACACCATCACTTATCATGCAGGGAGCTCTGTGCACGCGGAACCAGGAGACTGGGTTCCACTGGGGGCTCTGGAAGGTTTTTTGTTTGTTTGTTTGTTTTTACTGTAAGACCATCCACAAATCAGAATCATCGAAACATTTTTTTCGAAATGCAAAAGACTCCAGCACGAAGATGTTACAGGTGAGGGAATTAAGGTGCAGAGAGGAACAATGACTTGCCCAAACTCACATCACAGACCATAGCAGAAGTAGAATTTACACTCGGGTCCGTCAGACTGTAAAAACACACACTTAGTTTTCTCAAGAGTAGATGGAGGAATGACGACGTCCACACCGCACTGCTCCCGAAAACTTGCAAGGTTCAGATGTGGGCCAAGCCGCTGAACATCACTTCCTAAAGCCCCAAAGCGGCGTGGAAAATTAGGTTCCTCTAAGTGGAGGTGAAGAGCCAGGGCTGCAGCCTCCGCCCCAGGAAGCCTCTCACTCCTCCACGCCAGGTTCTCCCATCCAGACCCTATCCCACGCCACAGATGTCCCCTCGGCCAACGCGGCCCAGAAGGGGAAGGGGGACATGAATGAGGGGCGAGTTCATCCCGTCCAACTGACCTGTCACCCGGGGCGCGCCAGGGCGCGGAGCGCGGCCGCCGATCGCGCGCGGAGTCGGCACTGGGGGTCCCCACCCCTGCTTCTCTGTAGGGCTCCTTTCCACGCACAGCCCAGGACGTGAAGCGAGACGGACCTCAGCTTCCGCCCCTGGCTCCCCAGGCGGTCACGTGACCGAAGGGGCGGAGAACGGGGCGGGGCGTCATGTGACCACTGGCGGACGACGGCTGATGACGTTTGAGCCCGCGCTCTCAGTTTTAGCAACAGGGGAACTGAGTTGAGGAAGGCGCCACGGTCCGAGTGTAGGAAGTCAGGGTGTAGGCAGACGGAGCTGGGTCGGGCGCAGGTAAGGCGGCTGCGGGCGACGGCGATGGCGAGCGCGGCGGGAGGTGCGCCTCCCTCTTGGGCACTCCGCGGGTCTCCGGAGCTGGGTCTGTTGACCTGGACGACGGTCCTGATCCTTTTCACGCCACAGCAATGAGGCTGTGGCGATTTATCTCCTCCTCCTCGGAGACCTCAGCTCTCCCTCCCTCTGTCTTAGGTGCGTGGGGAAAAAATCACGCATTCTTGATCCAGATATATCTGGTCTTAACCCAGGGCCTCGGGCAAGTCGTTTCGATGAACTCCCTGGGCCCCAGCTTCCTTTTCTCTCACGTAAATGTCTGTCAGAATTAGAGATGCTGCGAAGGAAGAGCCCGGCCACCAGCTTACGGCACCCTGGAGGGGACCTAGGAGGGGTGGTTGCTGTTATTCCTGCCTCCGAATCTTAATCGATCGCTCGTTTTGTTTGAACTGTTTTATATGCTGTGGAATATTTCGGAGTGCTGGTTTAAGTTGCTCCCCAGGGTAAAGGAGTGGCGGACGTGTGAGCAAATAGTTGTGATGAGTTTTAGTGAGCGGTAGAGACAGTGGTAACAGGAGGGAGGGAACGAGCAATTGCTTGCCTGAAGGCTTCCAAAGGAAAAGTGTATCCTTGCATCTTGAGACATAGCTGTGTTAAACTTATACAGGCCCCGGGAATTTTAAAGGAAGTCAGCACACTGTCTATAAATATTTTTTTCTCTGCCTACCACTGAGCTCTACCGAAAGATGAGAGGAGGGAACAGGAGAGAAGTATTTTTACGTTAGCTGATGATTGGTCATCTGTCTACAGAGAATCTAACGGACCTGCTAGGGTCTGAATGTTTGTGTCCGCTCACCCATTCGTAACTTGAAATCCTGATGTTGGTGTGATGTTATTAGGTGGGGCCTTTGGGGGGTGCCTAGGTCAGGAGGGTGGAGCTCCTGGATGGGCTTGATGCCTGTATAAAAGAGGCTCCAGAGGGCCGCCTTGTCCCTTCCACAGTGACAGCTAGAAGATACTGGCTATGAACCAGGAGGGGCCTTCACCGAAACTGGACCGAGCCGGCACCTTGATCTTGGATTTCCCAGTCTCTAGAACTGCGAGAAATAAATTTCTGTTGTTTATAAGCTGCCTAGTCTGGTATTTTGTTTTAGCAGTCGGAATGGCCCAGAAGGGTGTCCAACCTGCGGCCCGGTGCGACCCGGGATCGCTGTGAACGCAGCCCAACACAAAATTATGAATTTACTTAGAACCTATTTTTGGCTCATCAGTTTTCGTTAGTGTTTGTGTATTTAACGTGTGGCCCAAGGCAACCCTTCTTCTTCTAGTGTGGCCCGGAGCCGCCAAAAGGTTGGATACCCCTGGCCCGGAGACAAGGCCTGTTGGGGAGGCAAAATACATGCTGGGGAAAAACTCAGGAACTGTGTAACCTTCTTTTAAACTTTCTTGAAGGCCATAGGTGCAGGGACCAAAAAGACTACTGTTACCTGGGAAAGACTCCTAGAGGAGGTTGGTTTAAATCAGGGTTTCTCAGCCACTGCGCTGTTGACAGTGGGGCCAGACAGTCCTTTGTTTTGGGGGCTGTCCTGTGGTTTCCCTAGTTAGCTGCCCTTCGTGGGAGGAATAGTGGAAAGCGTCTACCCCATTTTTCTGCTGCACCCATTCTCTTTGCTTCCCAGTCTGAATCTTTTCCTTGAAAACACTCCAGAATTACCGGAGAAAGTTTCCCCTAGCTCTCTGCAATTGTAAAATTGTATTGGAATAATATGAGTTGCATTCACGTAAAAGGATAGCTGCCATGTGGTACGTACTTTCCATTTATCCTGAGTTGTTTTAATTCTTACATACACTGTGTCTTAGTCAGCTTGGTCTACTACTTAAAAAATACCATGGGCTGGTGGCTTAAACAACAGAAAATTATTTTTCACAGTTTTTAGAGACAAGGTACTGGCACGGTTGGATGCTGGTGAGGGCTCTCTCTCTGGCTTGCATCCTTCTGCCTTCTTGCTGTGTCCTGATGCAGCAAGGGGTAGGGGAAGGGAAGGAGGGAGGGAGGAAGGGAGGGAGAGAGAAAGAGAGAGAGAATGAATGGGAATGCACCCTAGTGACCTCATCTAAACCCGATTATCTCCCAGAGGTCTTATCTGCATATACTGTCACATTGAGTGTTAGGGCCTCAACATAGGCATTTGCAGGGGGTGGGGGGGGCACAATTATCTCACTGTCCTCCATACTTTTTGATCCTAAGGCTCCTCGGGATGGGGAGAGGGGGCTTCAAAAAAATTATAGTTTCCTCAGTGTGTTCACTAGAGACTCTGATTCACTAGGTCTGAGATAGTATCCATAAAGCTATAATTTTAGTAAGTATTTCTGCTGATTGAGGCCAGGGGATTTTGAGAAAACTACAATATTAATTCATCCTTAATAATGCTAGGAGATAGATGTGATTTCCTGCTTTACACACAGGAGCAAAGCGCAGGTAGAGAAGACAAGCAACCTGCCCAGGGTCGTGCAGCTTTCCGTGCTGCGGACGGGATGGAATTCCCAGGCATTAGTGTCCGGTGTCTATTCCCTTAAGCGCTGCTTCATATTGTCCCTCACAGTATTATAATGATGAGGTGGGTGGTACTATCTGTTCCCATTTTAAAAGATTTATGTGCTGGCGGTTATTGAGTGTTTTATTATATATATATATAGATCTATATATATCTATATATAGATCTATATATAGATATATGTTACACATTCAGTCCTCGCAGTAATCCTTGAGATAGATAGGCACTAGATCATCCCTATTTTACAGAAAGGGAAAGTGAAACATTGAGAGGCTAACTAATTTGCCTAAATTCATTCAGCTCCGGAAGTAGCAAAATCAGGCTTTGAACTCAGGTAGTCTGGCTCCTGAGGCTATGTGCTTAACTCTATATTGCCTCCATATTCTACTCCATAGTGCAACTAGTGTTTATTTTAATGTAAACATGCTTCATGTTACCTGTAAGTAAAATGATATTCCAGGAAGATATGCTCTGTTTATACAGTGGCTTTACCCCCTGGGTCATGTATGTAGCACACTTCAACAATTTGCCTCTAGAACTGTGCTGTCCAGTGCAGCAGCCACTGGGCACGTGTGGCTGTCTAAAGTTAAATTGATTAAAATGAAACAAAGTGAAAAACTCAGTTCCTCAGTCATGCTAATCACCTTTCAGGTAATGAATAGCCACATGTGCCTAGTGGCTACCATATTGGACAGTGCAGATGATAGAACGTTTTTGTCATGACTGGAAGTTGGACAGCGATGGTCTCAGTGATTGAGAATCAATACTGACTAGAAAACCGAATCGTTGAACCGTGTCAGTTGATCCTTGCAGGTTTGTATTTTTTTGAGTAAACCCCCAAATCTAAGTGGCTATGCACAGTTGGAGTTTCTGTTTCTTTTATGCATTGAGCCTGATGAGTGGGCAGTTTTCCTCCTAACAGTGATCCTGGGCTTCGTCCGTGCAGTGATTCTCCGTCCTCAGTATATGGCTTCTTTGAGGTCACTTCTTGCCCGTTTCAAGCTGTCAAAATGGGAAGGAGCCTGGAGAAAGTGCGTGGTTCTGTGGACTGGACCTGGAAATGCCTTCCGTAGCATTGCCATGAATTCGGTCACATGGCCGCACCCCGCTGCAGGGAAGGCTGCAGACTGGGGCCAAGCTGTACTACCAGGTTGAAGAGGAAGTGGGTTTGGTGGGCACCGAGCCGGCATCTGACACGAGTACCTGTCCTTAGTTACCCTGAGGAGTTGTCTATGAAGCAGTCCCAGGAAGCTTACTGTTGCATTTATTGTAAGGATGTTACTGAGGATATCTTCCAGTATGACTCTTATTATCTCATATATGATGATCCGTGCTGCTTTGATTGCCAGCGACAACCTTATTTCCCCCGAATTCCTGGTGTGCTTTTTCTTTATGGAGATAGAGACTCTTGTAACTTTCACAGTTTAAAAAATTTTTTTTAAATATCTTGGGGTGACATGATTAATAAAATTATGTAGGTGTCAAGTGTATGCTTTTACAATACATCATCTGTGTATTACATTGTGGGTTCACCACTCAAAGTTGTGTTCCGTCCCCATATACGGGATCCGGCAGAAGTAAGGCCTGCTTGAGTGTGGTTGGTAAGGTAATAATATAGGTGTAATAATTTATAGTTTTAATTTGAACATTTCACCTAAAATGTCATATGGTGTGCTTGAGTGGGATGGTATCATGTTACAGAATGACCTGCTTATGCTTTTGTAATAAGATTTTGTCATTAAAAAAAGGAGCGTTATTTGTGCCAGACCCTCTATGACTGTTAAGATGCTCATAGCCAAACCTGTATTATAAGGATAATGCTGTGCAGGACCCTAAAGAATCCTAAGCCTATGATTGCATTCTAACTTTCTCATGTACTTGCTTCTCTCTTTCATCTGTTTTTTGATTCTGATTTTTATGAATTTATATTTTCCCATCTTATTGAATGTGTTTGTTTTTATGTTATATAAGCTGTCTCAACTTGTTTGTTGTAATAAAGTGAGATTGCACATAACACTCGCGCCAAAATGCAAGTATTCAGAAATCATCATTCGTTATTCATAATCATATTTTCTCTTTCATTTGGTATAAAATATTAACACCTCAGAAAGTGACATAACAAGAACCTTGTTCCATCATTTGGATCTAACAGTTGCAACATTTTGCTCCATTTGCTTCAGGTCTCGATTTTTAAGTTAAAAAAGATAGCTAAAGCTACGAGGCCAATTCGACCACCCCAGAACCAACTGGACTGATTCCTTACCCTGCCCTTAAGCCCCTGTCCACCGATGGTTGTTGGTGCCAATTCAGTGCCAACAGGAACCCCCAATTTGGGGTGCAGTGAAGAAGGATACTATTAGCGCAAACAGTTCATTTGTGACACAGCGTGACTGTGAGAAGAACATGTGAAACAGCTTATTAATGTCAGCTCAGTTATAAAAGACAACTGCTGAGGAACAGCGTGGCTGTGAGGTGGCCATGGGGTGAGGCCCCTCTAGCTAGATGGCCCTGCTCTGCTCTGGTTCATGCTGTTCCGCTCTGCCCTGCCCTGCCCCACTACGCCTGCTCTGCTCAGCTCTGCTCCTGCACAGTGTTTTTGGTGTTTCCGTTCCAGCTGGGGAAAGCAGTCTTTCTTCTTTGGTAGGGAAAGTGTGCTCTCTCAAGCCAGAGGGGAGCTGACTGACTTAGGGAGAAGTCCCTGCCCCCGACTGGTCAGAATGGAGCTGCTCTGATTGGTTGGCAAAGGCGCCAATAAAGATATAGCTGCATGACTCCAATAGCATGGGGAAAGTCTCAGTCTTACTGGTTGAATGAAATACAATGCTAGGAACTTACTTTATAAGGGCTGGCTCACGTGGAAGGAACATAGAGGAGGTAGGCAGTTCAGTGCAAGGCAGGCAGCTGAGTGCAGGCTTCCCCCTGAAGCTCAGTTTGCATAAGAGGAACCTGTTTAGAAATGGCTGCTAGGCTGTTCTTAAATTTAAACCTAGTTAGCCACCAGGATCTCTTTTGGGTAGCTGTCTTTTCTCGGGGTCAACAACCCTATAGACTGTGCTCAAAAACATACTAAATATTTGTTAACTGAATGATTTGAATTGACGAGTTCTATTATGGATGTTTGTCTGTAGTAGGCTAATACCTCAGAAATAGAAATCAGTGTCTCAGTGTTTCAGGCATTTTCTCTGTGCCCTTCCCTTTTTTTAAAGTATTTTATTTATTTTTAAAGAGATGGAAATGGAGGGAGAAACAGAGGAAGAGATACATCAATGTGTGGTTGCCTCTCATGCACCCCCTACTGGGGACCTGGCCTGCAATCCAGGCATGTGCCTGACTGCAAATCGAACCGGTGTCCCCTTGGTTCGCAGGCTGGTGCTCAATCCACTGAGCCACATCAGCCAGGGTCTGTGCTCTTCCCTTTGCATACCCTGTGTCTTTATTTTTTTTTTTTTTATCTTCACCCAAAGACATTTTTTTCATTGCTTTTTAGAAAGAGTGGAAGGTGGGGAAGAGAGAGAGAGAACACGCATGTGTGAGAGAAGAGAACAGAGAAACATCAATGTGAGAGAGAAACATCTATTCGTTGCTTCCTATATGTGCCCGGACCTGGGGTTGAACCCGCAGCCTTTCGGTCTACGGGATGATGCTCCAACCGGCTGAGCCACACTGCATGCTGGCCAGGGCTCTGTGTCTTTTTCAAATGAGTCTTTTCATGTGGCTTTTAAAAAAAAATGATTGACACAGTATGGCTCTCAATACCTTTCGTTGCATGAATCAATTAATCTGATTAAAAGGGCCAGTAATTTAAGAACTACTATTCTCAGATGTAAGATAAAGGTGGTGACAATGGAAAGGATGGAAATGCCAGAGATGGTAGGCAGTTCTCCAGGGAAGGAAGGAAGGACAGACGGCTAGGAGGGCATGTCCCAATGCTAATTAATAGCGTACTGTGTGCTGGACCCCACTGTTATATTCCTTCCCAAATTAAAGACAGTAAGCCTTAGGTTCAGGGAGGTTCAAGCAACCTCCCCTGGTTACTCAGGGCCAGAATTCATGCTGTGTCTGTGTGATTCTAAGCAAATACCTTTTATTCTGTTAGCATACAGCCAGCCTTTCCATCCCTTTAAACCTGTGTGAATTTTCTCTCTACTTTTCTGGTTTATTTCAGTGGATTGAATTTCAGGTGGTTTCAGAATTAAGCAAAGATGTGTTTTTGTTGGTGCTCTTACATAAGTGGTCCAAAAGTGAAAGAATTGGTGGCTGAAGATATAGATTAGGGAACATTTCATATGAAGGTAATAACTGGAACTATTATAGTAGGTAAACTATCAGAAGATAAGAGTTTGTAGAAAAATTGCATTTTTACTGAAACAGAATCTGTGCTTCTCAGGAAATCCTTGAACCTCTTAGAACCCAGATGAGCTTTCAGGAATACATATTTTTGAGTTTTCAGAATTCAGTATACGTATACGTCAGATAAATGAAAATTACGGATTTTCAAACTACATTATTTTTATTTTTTAGAAAAATGCATCAAATGAACACGCTAATTTTTCTGACCCATTTATCTTTTAAGTTTTTAAGAACTGTGCTTTTGTTCAGTTCCTCAGAGAATCAAGGAACCTTTCAGAAGAGAGTATTCTTTTTCCTTTAAAGAGTGAAGACAGTTAGTTACCCTTCCGTATATGAGCGCATCTCTGCTGGTGGCCCAGATGATGGCATAGTGCTTCAGTGTCCTCTCAGGGGATACGGAGTGTGCAAAATAGCATGGCCCCTGGCGGGTATTGGATACATTCATATGGATGTTTTACAGCAGTTTTGTTTTCCTATGCAGTTATTCTGACTCATAAATTTTGTTTCATTGTGTTTGACAACTTAGGTGATAATTTCAAGATGCCTGGACGTTCCAGTTCAAATTCCGGTTCAACTGGTTTTATATCCTTCAGCGGCATAGAATCTGCTCTCTCTTCCTTAAAAAACTTCCAAGACTGCATTAACACTGGAATGGACACAGCGTCTAGCGTTGCTTTGGATCTTGTGGAAACTCAGAGTAAGTAATAATGAAAACGTATTTCTTTTGTGTCTACTTTGAGGTAACTTGTGTGGTTGGCATTACTCTGGGGACATGAGACACTGCTCGCCATGTGTGTATCCTCAGGACAGTCATCTGATCCCCCGGGCATCTGTTTTTTCATCTTGTTCTACACTTCCTATGGTGATGTGCTGAGGATGAAATGAGATCGACTCATTTGTATATATTCAGCTAGTTAATGTGCTGCTAGAAACTGCGCCAGCAGTTTATGGGTTAATACATGAAGGTTCCTGACCTCAAGGAACACACAGTCAAAAGTATGTGACATTTGTGAACTTTACAAATGCCTTTGATAAATTTGTTTTCCAGTAATTTAACTATATTTGGTTCATGTGGATTACCTTAAAGACAGACTAAGCTTATGCTAGAGGGGCTATTGATGCCAAAGGAAGGCCTTTGATGAACTTGGTCAAAATTTTTGGATCAGAACATCGAGAAAGATGTTATTTGCTTTCTTTGGATTAGAGTTGTTTTTAGCTTATATTATCTATAGAGACAAGAGCAACATTATCTTTTTGTTTTCTTTTTAATATTGGTTTTTGTAATTTGTGATGCGCCTTGTGATTTTCTTTGTTTATTCTGCCTTGTGTTTTTTGAGCTTTATGGATTTGTGGGCTTACAGTTCTGATCAAATTTGGGAAAATCTCTGCTACTATTTCTTCAAATACTTTTTCTGTTTTTTTCCTTCCCCCTCTCCTTCTGGGACTCTAATTACATGTTTGTTACACTCCCTGATTATGTCCCATGAGTCACTGAGGCTTGGTTGGTTTTTTTTCCTCAGTCTTTTTTCTCTCTGACTTCAATTTGAATAGTTTCTATTTCTATTGCTATGTCTGGAAGTTCACTAGTCTTGTTTTCTGCAGTGTCTAATCCTATGTTAAGTCTATTCAGTGAATTTTTCACTTCAGGTGGTGGATTTTTCAGCTTTAGAAGACATAAAGAATTGAATGGAATCTTATCTCTAGCTTGCATTTCTTTCCGTTATGTTCATGTTTTCTTCTATAGCCTTGAATATTTGGAGTACCTTTATACAGCTGTTTTAATATCCTTTTCTGCTAATTCTATCCTCTTTATCTATTGCTGTTGCATAACATGGGCAGTATACATTATGTTGTTGAGTGTTGGGATTTTGTTGTCTTCCTTTGAGTAGTTTTGCCATTTGTTTTGGCAGGCAGTTATTTGTGGACTGGGCTGGCCCTTCCCAGGCTTGTTAAACTTTTTAGGGCAGGTCTAGTGCAGTTTTACTTTAGGGCTAATTTATGTGAACCTTGTTACAGAGCTTGGCCTTTCCGGAGTCTCTGTTGGTTTCCCAGAGGACTGTGGGAGAGCTCTGCTCTGCTGGATGGAGTTTGAACATCTTCCAGTGCTGTGTGAATTCTGGGAATTGTTCGCTTGACAGCTCCCAGCAGCGCTCCTCAGCCGCTAAGCCTTCAGCATCAGGCCTGAGGGGATCCCTGCTCAGATCCCTGCAGCACTTTCTCTGCACGGCTCCCTCCCAGGGCTCTGTCTGGCAAAAGCTGCTGCTTCGGCCTCCTCGAACTCCAGCCTGTGGCTCCTGGGTCCTTCAGGGCTTCCGTGCTCTCCTTGGCGTCCTCCTCCCTGGTGCCTGGAGGAGGGCTGTCGCAGGGCTTAGCGCACTTGTTTCCCTTTTTGCAGGAATCATAGTTCTGCTCCACCAGTTGTCCCACTGTCAAAAGGCCTTTGTTTCATATATTTTGTCCAGCTTTCTAGTTGTTCATGGCCAGATGGCTAGTTCCATACCAATAAACCAGTTATCTATTCATGGCTGTCAGCAGTATCTATTTATGGATATTTGGCTTTGGTAGTAGCCCTGGATAAGTCATAATAAAATCTTAAATCATAAGAAGGAAGAGCTGGCATAAATCTCCTGTAGGATTATATCTGTTTATTTTCAGGATTTGTTTTGAAGGCTTCTGAATGTTTTCACTACTAAGTTCCTTTTTTAAAAAGTGTATTTTGGTGCAAAATACAATGTAATTTTAAAAAGAATTGTCAACATTGTTTTTTGAAAAGTTCCTGCTCTAAAATAGGCGTTGGCCAAGTTTTTCTACAAGAGATTAGATAGCAAATATTTTCAGCTTTGTGGGCCACGCGGTCTCTGCTGCAGCTTTTCCAATTGTTATGACACTAATTTTGACTCTGGGGACCTCACAAAAGCTTCTCGGGGACCACAGCCCGAGAACCACTGGTTATGGGAGTGAATCCGACCGCTGTGACCTGGCAGCTGGTGACAGGAGAAACTCCCTCCAGAGAGAATGCCTATGAAGACCCCCCACTGGAGGAAGCCAGCCAGAGCTTGTTAGAAGAGCAGGCTGAGTGTGACACCGGCTGACATGGTGCCCGCGGACCCTGAGAGGGAGAAACGCCTGGTGTTTAAGGAACTTTGACCGTGATTCAGCCTTTAACAGCAAATGAAAGACCTACAGGAGACAGGGCCAATATACCGCTCAGTCGCAAGGACGGAGAGTCATCCAGCCTTAATTCTGCAACTTGCTCAAAGTTAGAGAGCTTCTCTGAACTTCCCAGTACTTCTCTATGAGGTAGGGCTAAAAATGCCCACTTGCTGGGATTAAATAAGGTAATATATGCCCTTAGCATAGTGTTTATTCAATAGCTACCATAAATAACTAGCGGTTAGTACATTTAAGGGTCAGAACCTGGAAGAAGGGCCTGTGGTGTGATGGGGGAACAAGGCGGGTGAGTTTGGAAGTCTGTGTAAGGCTTCGGGATTGAGTTTAGCTAAACCAGTAATTCACCAAACGTGTTAGCCCAAACTGAAAAGACTAATAAAGGCTTTTTCAAAGTTGTTTACAGTCTACCTGGGAAGAAAGATAAATACATGCTATTCAGTCAGTAAGGGACCATCGAGTGCCTAAAAGGTGATGCTTTGCCATTTAAAGTAGAAAAGAAAGGTAGTAAAATCCAGTTTTAAGTTTTAGAAAGCTCACCTCTAGGCAGTCCTGAGGGTGCCGCGGGGCGAGGAGGGACCTCAAGTGGCTAATGAGATTATTTCAGTAGCTCAGGTTAAGGAGAAGATAAGCTTAAGAGATTATAGTTGCGATGAAGAGGATTTCGTCTGTGTGCTTCGCACCTGCGTGTTGCAGTGGCAGGGCGGCGCAGGGCGGCGCAGGGCGGCGCAGGGCTGTGCAGATGGGACGCCTGGTTTGTACCCCAGCTCCAGCATGTTCTGTTTTTGTGACCATGGGCGAGTTCTGTAACCTCTGTTTGTCTTAGATTTCTCATTTGTAAAAGGCATTACTGCAGCAATGAAATGAAATCATACAAATTATGTAGAACAGTACTTGACACTTAAGCTCTCAGTAAATATTAGCTATTATATTGGTTTGCATTTGCATTGACTATTTTGTTGGACAACAGTGAATGGATCGGGAGAAATTAAAGTGCAGAAGAACAGGACAGAGAGTTTGTGAACTATCTTCAAAGCAGAAATATTCCCTTTTCCTCTTAGCCTAATATGCACACTTTTTGTTGACCTTTTGGGTTGCCCGACTTCATCTCAAAGTAGAATGAATGAACTTTGTTAAAACAGGTGGTAGTGGTCGCTTAGGTATCATAGTCTCACTTCGTACTGCAATTCTCTTCTCACTATCTATTAAATTATTGGTGAAGGGCATTCTTGCTTCCAAGAACCAGAGGGGTGAGGATGTGTTCTCTTTGGTTTCCTGTTAGCTGCATATTCCTGTAGCAGGTGATAGTCCCTATTCATGTTTCTAGCTTCTTTGAAATGGCCACTCCTGCCTGTGTAGTATTACAGCCTGTGGTGTCTGGACTCTCACTGCCACAATGTCTATAAGTTTTTCTCTGAAATTGTTGATTTTTGCCTTCGCTGGTGTGGCTCAGTGGATTGATCACTGGCCTGTGAACCACCGGCCTGTGAACCAAAGGGTTGCCGGTCCGATTCCCAGTCAGGGCACATGCCTGGGTTGCAGGCCAGGGCCCCAGTTGGGGGCGCACGAGAGGCAACCACACATTGATATTTCTCTCCCTCTCTTTCTCCCTCCCTCCCCCTCTGCTAAAAATAAAGAAATAAATAAATGAATGAATGAATAAATAATAAATAAAATTGACTTTCTAGTACTAGCTTCTTTATTTGACCTAATTGGGGAATTAAATTTGTTACATTAGGGGATTTTTCAGATAAAAGGAGCCTATTTTCAGAGTTATTTAATATGTACTTTTCTGCTTTCTTAAACAATATACATACCTAATTTACCAGAATTGTTATCAACATCATCCTTAAGCAATTGAATTTGTAGAAGCCCTGTAAGGTTAGCTCCATGAATTTGAGGAACGGCCTTTCCCTGAAACGTTAACACCCCTCCAAGTCGCGTCCTTTCTCTTTGTGCCTATCTGCCAGGGTCTGTCCACAGATGGACTTCACAGGTTTGCTTAATGCTCTTCCATGGAAGACGTATGTGCTTGAGGGTTGAAAGTTAGTTACCAGATTCTTGCTAAATATTTCTGAGGAATATTTGGAAGGAGAGGATGCTTTTTAAATTGCTCAAGGGGTCCAGTAGGTAAGAATATTGGAGGCCTCTCAGGTTTTCTTTGTTTTGCTTTTCTTCCTATGGCTTCGTGGAGCCACGGGGCAGGCAGACCGCAGGCGTGCTGGTCAGGCAGGCAATCAGGTGGTTGCTGGACTGGGCCGGAGTGTGGTGGTGATGATCGTCGCAAAGATGCAGATCTCCGTAGCTGAATTTGTTCCACACTTCCTGTGCTTCCGTGGGCGGGGGCGGGGGCGCTGTGCTTTTCCCCATGGGCTACCTCACGTGGTCCTAAGAGTGGTCCTGTGAAGCAGGGACTGTCGTCATCCACACTGCGAACATGAGCAAACTGAGGCTTGGCGAAATTGAGTGCCTTCCTATGGTTGCAGAGTTAGTAAGTGGAAGAGTTGAGATTTGAAGGTAAATGGTCTG